TTTTTTTTAACTCGCTTTACAATTTTACAAAAACATTTCCTATATGAATGTTTACATTTAATATTATTAAGCTTACATCAATCTATTTCAAAGATGTTTTCAAGCGCATTAATTCAACAATCAGCCTTACTGTCAAATGCTATTTATTTCTTATATACATTTTATATTTGTTTATTTAGAAATATTACATTCTGTCACATCAAGGACATTTATAATAGTGTTCAGAAAAAGCACACTCACACTCTATTTACAATAAAAAAAAAAATAATAATACAGAAACTTAATAATAATAAATACAATAAAATAAAATAAAAATAAATACAATAAAATAAAATAAATATAAACAAAAGAACTAACCTAATCATACACACTCGGGCTTGAGTGGAGGATCTGGCCATTGCCAAAACTCCAATAGATGCTTATTTACAAAAGGTCTCTGGGCCACTGCCGCTTCAACCTTCGAGGAGGATTGTAAGGATGGGTGGTGCTGGATAGAGATTGTGCAAGGGGATTTGGATGATAGGTAAGGTTCTGGTGAAATTTGGAGAATTTTTCTGGAATAAGGTCTAGGACAAATGGAATATTAAGGTCATGGTGTAGGATTTTGTTATTTACATAGAACGGAGCATCAACTATTGTTCGAAGGACTTTAGATTGAAAGGATTGAATACGTTTGATGTTAGAAGCTTTTGCTGTCCCCCACAGTTCAAGTCCGTATGTCCATATAGGTTTCAGTATTGTCTTGTAGATAAGTAATTGGTTTTCAATAGAAAGTTTGGATTTTCTGTTTAGTAGTCTGTATAGCTGGCCGTATCGTCGGTTGAGTTCTTGTCTGTTGAGTCTAGTATGTGGGTTCCACGTTAGTCTTCGGTCTAAATGAAAGCCAAGATACCGGACTGTGTCTGAGTAAGGAAGCTGGATGGAATTAAAGTGTACTGGTGGACAGGAACTGCGTCGGAGTGTAAAGGTAATATGTTGGCATTTAGATTCATTAACTTTAATGCGCCAGTTATTACACCAGTGCTCAATCAAGGTGAGGTAGTTTTGGAGATTTAAGGATGCTATGTTGGGATCTGAGTCGGATGATAGAATGGCGGTGTCATCAGCAAAAGTTGCCAGGAAGGTATCGGGATGGTCAGGGATATCGGCGGTAAAGAGGATGTAAAGGACGGGACCCAATACGCTACCTTGAGGAACACCTGCCTCGATTGGATAGCAATGCGAAAATTCAGTACCGCAACGAACTCGGAAGGTACGACCTGAGAGGTAGGAATGGAGAACAAGGTACAAGGACTGAGGAAGATAGTTTTTCAGCTTGGAAAGAAGCCCGGCGTGCCATACCCGGTCGAAAGCTTGAGCTATGTCCAGAAATGCACCCGAGCAATATTGCTTGCTTTCCAATGCTGCGGAAATATGGTCAACCACTCGGAGTCCTTGTTGGACTGTAGAGTGTTGTGAACGAAATCCGAACTGATGGGAAGGAAGAGTTTGGGATTCTATAAAGGGTAGGATGGGTTTCAGGAGGATCTTTTCAATGATTTTTGAGAGAATCGGAAGAAGGCTAATTGGTCTGTAGGACGTTGAGGTGTTGGGAGGTTTGCCTGGTTTTGGAAACAGGATAATAGTGGAATGTTTCCACAAAAGAGGAAAGTGGGTGGTTCGTAGGATGCTATTGTATATGTATGTAAGGAATATGACAGCTTTAGGAGGGAGTTGTCTAAGGATCTGAGAGGTTCTTATTTACATAGATAGATAGATAGAAAATAACTTGTTTCTGGGTCACAGTCCCTTGAGAATAACAAAATAGAACAAAATTAAAAGATTACATCTGGCCTAAATAAAATCAATAGAAAAAAAGATATAATGTAAAGAAAATATAAAGTAAACATTTCATATACAAAACAAATGAAACTATATACAAAACAATTAACACTATGACAAGACACTTAAAGCTATTATATGTATGTATATATATATATAACGTCGTTGAGAGTTCCCCGCTCCCTATTATATGTATGTATATAGGGACATATATATAGTAGGTAGCGGGGAGCGGGAGTTATGTAACGTCACTGAAATTATCTTCTCCAAACAAATGGAAAAAACAAAACTTTATTTTGAAAAAGTACGCTAGGCTAATGATGCTAACACTCTCTGAACTAGCTAACTTCCATATCAAGATATCACTGACTACTGGAATTACAAAGGAGGAAGGGTTTATCTACAAAGAAGTAAACAGCTGTATATGTACAGGAGTAGTACAGAAAGTGAGCAATTTGCTGAAAAGGTAACGTTATTTACCACAACTGTTGAACATTTCATTTGGATTTCATTCATCCACAATGTTCACTGGTGAAATCCATGATTCCGTAAATCACCAACGGGGCGTAGTAATGCTGCCCCTACACCGTTTTCGTTAGCCGTGATTCGCTATGTGGTTTTCTGGATCTCAGAAGCCACCCAGAGCTTTAGTCTATACATTGCCTATACCTGTAAAAAGGTCCTCGTGACATTTTTATTGATTAAGAGTGGGCCGAGTGGCCGAGCGGGTTAAGGCGTGTGCCCGACAACCTGATAACCGAAACAATAAAATAATTACGAGTTCGCGTCCCGGAGCCAAGGGGTGATTTTTTACTGAGGCATTAAACCCTCGCCCTCACCCTTGCCTCGGGAAAACCCAATGTAGTCTAAAAGGCGAAAACCCTCACCCCCTCTCCCTCCCCCCCCAAAAAAAATCATTAATTAAGTGATGGCGCCCTCTGGATGTTGGCCTCAGGGTTTTATTGTACTTCAATTACGCTACTCACGTCGTATAAAACAAACGAGTTTATGTTGTGATTTAATATAATGTACGTGTGAATGACTCCGCAGAAGAAGAGTTATTAAATATTGGACGACATTGCTCACATCGCCTAACTACACGACTGTATGATCCTGACTGCCTCTTCTACCAATCCCTAATGCAGTTCCCTTTCATCGGGACGACGATGCTATTCGAAGACAGTGGCAGCGTGGCGTTGAAAGGCATCAGTAATTAAACTCATCCGGGTCACTTCCTCTAAATAGGAATTATTTCTATGATGTCGAGGTTCCACTTCTTCTACCTCTGTTCCAGCCACTCTGGTGCCAAGTTAATCTACTTTGTCAAAAACCGAAAATTCAAGCATACTTTAAACATGTATAATTGCATTTTGTCTATATTTTGAAAATGAGGAAATTTTCAATTCGTCGAAGAGATGAACTAAGAAATGATTTATAACATATGCCTGATAATCATTAACAACTATCCACGATACACAAAAATAGCCACTATGTTAACAGAATTGCAGCTTCCAACCGAGTAGTATGAACAATAAAACTATACATTTATTTTAAATTACAAAGATTCTTAGAGCTTACAACAATATCTGATAATCCCACGATCCAAAAAATAGGAAACTATAACAAGAAATCACTAAAACGGTACACACACAAACGGACAAAATATACTTCTAACTTAACAAAACTCAACTTGATAACATTAAAAATATTGATAAACAAGCAGCAACATATTCCCCACACCAATCATTGAAGAATAATTTATAAGATATAAAAAATGGAACTGTTAGGTTTGTTTTATCTTTTATATACATTTTAATGTCAGTATATGGTTTTTTTATGTTATTTACTCATTTTTATAACTTATATAGTTTTTTTTTTTTCCTACTGTACACAATAGATTTCAGCTTAAAAAATGGCAATCAGACCACTTTATTGTAACATGTGTAAGGTAATGTTGCCATGAGCATGTGACCATTATTATGATATATATATATGTAAATAAAATATTTTTTTTATTTCATTTTAAATGATTTATCGCTCTACAAAACGCCTACATTGCTCTGTATATTATCACCGAGGAATTTTTTTTTATACCTCTAAGCGCATTTTTACATGGTCCGAAAAAGATTGTACATCCTGCCGCCAAACATCACCTCGATTTATCGTAGCGATTGGAAACGCAATAAAGAGGCATATTAAAATGTAGTACTGATTTTCACGTCTGTAGACTTTTCCCTGTTAATAATTATATGAGCGGTTCTTATAAAAGTTCACGCATATATAGTGGAGAAAAGCACTCAAGCTCACGTTATTTCGTAATAAAGCATAATTCGTATTACGTTATTACTTTTGAGGCCACTTTAACGGTGTCCAACTCACTTGGATTCAAAAATCATGACGAATCGGTTTAGGTCCTTTGATTATGGCTGTTCAGAGTCAGGAGCACGAGGGCTTAAATTTCTTTCCCGTAAAAAGAACTTTCATTAAGTATAAGTAAAATATGACTTTTTCAGTATTCACCTGGATAACAAACTGGAGGTTATAATTAAATATTAATAAACTATAATATGTTTATGGTCTTTTTTTGTGATTGGTCAAGTAATTGGCTATAGGACATTTATAAATTTTTCAGTAGTCTTAACAGTTTTCCATATTTTATGTAGTTTGTATAAATTAAAAATTATTACTTTTCCAGTGTTTTATTTTTTAATAGAAGGGGTACCCCCTGTCCGCCTAATGGCGGACTAACCCCCATTTTACAAATTATACTGCCTTCCTTTAATTGTACTACTCTTCGCTCAAACTGCACAACTGTAATTTATACGTATGTTATTGTTTAGATAGTATTATTTATTATGAAAATAAAATAAACGGCACGAAACCATAGTTCCTACAAATCTTTAATTTCTTTAAAAATCTATATGAAACATCGCCCCTTATTGTCAATTTATGTGATTACATAGGTAATCATAATTATTCTTATTGCCAATAAATAAATTTATGATATACGTTATATAGGTAATTATACTTATTGCCAATTAGTAACCGTAATAAGGGAGTAATAATTCTGGGAATCAGAAATGTGGTGTCTTCGTTACGGTCCGTCCCGCTTTGTATGTGTAAAATAAAATGTGACAGTCACTGAAATCGTTTTTATATGATAGAGAGATTGTGTTGATGAACAGTATATAGTTTTTGTCCGTCTATTTGGAAATTTTTAGGTTTTTATTGAACATTTTTAATGCACAAAAATCCAGCCTTTAGTAAAGTCCATTCTGAGTGGTGGAAGATGTGGCATTGAATAGTGCAAGTTGTGAATAGGCCCCGCCAGAGGCCGCTTCGAGGAGGGGACATGGCGCGAGTCGAGGGCACTCGAAGCGAGGAGCATTGTGTACCCGCGGGCACTGCGCCTGACACCTCTCCTCTCCTCTCGTTCTTCGTCAACCCTCTTCGTCCTCTGACTCTGGCAATGTCTGTGGCTGTCAGTGTGTGTGTTCCGGACCATCCACCCCTGCCGTCGGGAGGCTGGTGTATTCATCCGGGGAGTGATAGTCCAACCTATTGTTAGTGAGCTCAACCGCCAACAACAAGTATTATCATGACCGTATTTAAATCTATCTTACAATAAAATAAAAGAACCAAGCGAACTGACGGAACAAGATGGGTGAAGGGAGAGTAGGTGGTTGTGGTTCGTACAGTATAACCCGATTATCAAAAGCCCTGATTAAGAACTACCTAAAACAAGACGTGTGTAAAATACGCGTTGCCGGGCAACCAGATAAACCGAAGATTACTAGTTCGAATCCCGTTGCCTGCAACGTTTTTAACCCTGAAATTAATCCCTCAACCTCTACCCTGGACTTTAAAAAACACACATAGTCGAAGAAGGCGACGAATAGAGAAAGTTCGAAACTTAGGCAATCCAATAATCTATACTCCAACTTTTTATTTGTGTGTTTGTCTCCGCATCCTACGCCTAGTTTCTTAAATTATAACTATGGGGAATTATTTCCATACCAACAAGAGAATATAATGTTTTATTTATTCCGTTGACTTGGGTTACTCCCTTTAGACTGCTGTACAGCAACCAGGCTATTCTTTTACAAAACAAAAAACTGTTGCTTTAGATCCCGTGAAGGGTCGAGGTTACATAGCTCAGTACTTTTTAAGGACTTTGATTTGCCCAGAATCGCATTGAACCATTAGGTATTAGGTTTTCCCTCTAATCAAGAGTTCCGACCAAGGAGGTCAACTCTTTTCTGAAGTCAAAACTACACTTTTTTGTGAAGAGTGAATTAGATTGAGCCGTCAGATTTCCGATGTGAAACGCTCGGATGAAGTCGGTTGGAGTCGACTAATGGAAGTGTTTTTGCATATAGATTAAAATATTTGAAAACTAAAAGTTGCACTTGCATATTGTAAACAAGAGAAATTTTCATAATTTTATCTTAACGGGACGCTGTGTTCGAGATGCTTAAAGGGAAAAAATAATATCGAAAACCAAATGATGACGAGTTTTGTTGAAGATATCGATTAAAATATCTCAGAAACTAAAAGACTTTTATTTATAAAGGAAGGAGATGGTCCGGGGTTGCGGTCATAAATAGGCTAAATAGTGGTAAAACTATTTTATTGAAAGCCGACGTTTCATTTATAACGACTTTTATTTATAATTTATTTTTCATATTATCTCGTCTTTATGTTTTCACTTCTATCGCGTTGTCTAAAGCACATACCTTATTTAGAAATAATATATAGTGGGTATGTTAGCTGAAAATAGTGGTACTTATAAAATAGTTAAGACAAAATCGAACATAAATTTATTTTTTTAGAAAACTAGAAATGAATACCAGCTTATTCCGTGACAAACTTCAACTTAATCAATATGGTCGGAGAAATGATTAAACTAGGAATTTTTTCTAAAAGTGGCGAATTAATGGTCCAGTAGTGAATAATCTACGAGTAGAAGAAATGTTGCCGCTCAAAAATCTTCTTTTGATGTTTCAACAAAAATAAAGCATTTTCTCTTGTTTAATATTCCGCAATTGGCTATGGCTTAATTAAAATTGTTTTTTGTTATGGTTGTATATTCGACAATAAGCGTGGTTGGCTAAAATAAAATAAAAAAAAATTAAATCTCGGTGTGAGCTATTATGTTCATGAGAATGTTGTTTATAGCTCTTGAGGTCAACTCTCAATTGTCACTACTTCGAAGATACTCCAAGTCGGTTTATTGCAAAATGCCTTTAAGTTACATTTGATAACATTCAATCATTGATGAATTTTCCTTCTGCCAAATCAGAAAATTGTCCGCCTGTTGTTACTACATGAAATATAAAAGGGGTTGTATCATTTTGATGCATCTATGCAGTTTTTGTCGGTAAAATAAATTCGACATCCACAAAAACTCTTTTAAAATTTCAGCTCGATAAAAGTATACTTTACTTAATGACTTTTTGCAATAAACCGATATTATTATGTATTTTTAGAACCAAATTATAATAAATTGAACCAAAACCAATTGTTGATAACAATATTAGCCGCTATGGTGTTCTGGCCCTAACTTGTTTTATTCCAGCTTCCAGGAACTCCCTTAGGATCTGTCGGTGACAAGAGCGAGATCAAAGAGGAAGTTTCTTTTTGGTCGATGGTCTTTAGCTGAGGCCACCCCATCTTGTGTTTTCTATCTTTAAAAGCGTTTCATATTTTAGCAACAATCTTAGCAATCCCAGTGCATCAGTATTCGATTTCTTTTTGTGTTTACAAACCCCTTAATTAGTCTTTTAACCAGGAAAAGATTTAACATTAAAATAATTGCAGGAGAATTTAAAAACAAAAAAGGAGATTAAAAACAAATTAATTTATTCTCTATCCTAAACCCGTGTGGGGTAAGGTAGTCGTCCAAACCGAGGGGCAGTGTGGTCGAGCGGGCTAATGTATGTGCACAGCACCGCTCGTTGCCCGCCAGCCCATACAAAGATTACAAGACAACAAAGTTAATTTGACAAAAACAGTTATAAGTTCAAGTCCCGGTTCCCGGGAAGCTTTTGACTCTGGCATTAATCGCCCGTCCTCATCCCCTGCCCGGGAAAACCCCGTATAACCTAAAGAGGGAGGAAGGAGAGGACTGGAAAAAAAAATCGATCGAACCAGCACAGGCTAGCTTAAGGTAGGATTTCGCTGATACTGCCAACCGCTTACTGCTGGTTCATTTCGCTGAAACAGCTAGCGGCCCACTCATATAATAACAACCTTAAATTTTATCCTTTTTATTTTTATCGCAAGGGCAGAAATAAATACGGAATTTTGTTATTATAAATTTAATAGATGCCATACGGCTAGGACTTATGTCTGTATAATAAAAAGCTAACGAAAGTGCTGGTTTTTAATAATAATTTAAATAAAAATATCAACCTTATGATTGAAAGATAAAATAATAATTAACAGAAAAATAATAGATCAAATGAATGAAAATACTAGAAATAAAATATTATTATGATTTTTAGTTCATGTTTATTATTATGAATCACTGTATTTAATTATAAATTCATGAATATTATAATAAGAATTATTGTGTACATGGTAACTCATAATTCATAAATAAAGACTATTTCATTGGTGGGATCATTACGGTAATAATTATCATACATTTGTAATGAAATCACAAAGGATAATGTTTTATCATTCGCTAATTAGTAAGTCAGCTCTTTAATTAAAATATACATTGTTTTTTCCATTTTTGGATTTGAGTAGAAAATATTTAATTTATTTAATGGTAGTTGGATCGGGTATATTACGATCGCTGGGAGGGTTTTCTTTTAATTAAATCCAAAATGTGAATATATGTGCTCGTTAATTCGATCTTGCAAAAATTACAGTTTACAAATTACTTTTAATTTATTCTGACATGGTGAAAAAAAGAAACGAAATTTAGCAACGTGGCCTTTGTCATTGAAACTCTTCTTCGACATGAAAAACATTACCCAGAACCGCCTGCCGACATCCACTTCACTGCTTTTCGAACGGAGAAATTATATCAAGTTTGGACAATCTGTTTCAGGGAAAGAAGTTTGGATCCTCGTAAGACTTCTAACAGCCATAATCCATGGATCTAGACCGATTTGTACATGTCCTTGAACCCGAGTGGGTCGGTAGGAAGAGTATTACTTATCGGTTCCAATGCTCAAAATCCCGGGTATATATCCCGGCTCAGCAGAAAAATTATTTATTCTGTTTCATCGGCCGTGGGGTGACCCTGGGGTTAGGAGACCGTCCTGGGACACACCGAGCCTCTATAAAGTGGGTAACCTTAATTAAATAATTAATTAAAGGGAAAAACCGAGATCTCAGTCAAATCACCTCCTTGCACAATCGTTGACTAAGAAACAATACTGAACCCAAGACCGTTCTCATAGGGGTGATAGTGGTACAGGTTATATATATATATATATATTTTAATATACAGGTCCCTTTTAAGGCAGTTCCATCCCAGAACGTTATATTGATGAAGTGGTCTATTCATTTGTCTGTTCATGTTTGAATGATAAAAGGCTTCTTCAATTACTGCCCAGCTTTAATTTATAATCATTGGTCGTCCTTTCTTTAGTTTGGTTGGACCCCCGAAGCGTTACTTGGGTATTAATGGAAGTGTTTTCAGCCATTAAGATCTGCAATGGTTTTCATATTGTCTGCCAGGTCACGCCGACCATTAATTTTGCCTAACGATCATTTCTGAGAGATTGTCTTTGGGTGAAATCACAGGCAGAAATCCGTTAATATTTAAGTTGACTGAAATTTTGATATAGTCCCTTTTCCAGAGTATGCAATTACATCAATCCGGTATAACCTGGTGGCACTCTCTATAACAAACTGACTCAGCTTCTTTCCTATCATGACGATGTCGATATATGGCGAGAAAGATAAGCCAGCGTTAGCAGGGCTCAAATCAACGAGCAGAAAGCTGTTAACATTGTAACACAAAAAACTCCGACTGGACCTGATGAAATTGTCAGTATAGGAAGCCAAGTTGTGAGTAACTGCCTGGATCCGCTAATTACATAAAATGATATGCTGGAGGTACTGAAAGGGAAGATGGCTGCCAGGTGTTAATTAACAACTTTGTCATCCGAAAAATATTAAAATATAGATCTCGGATGAGCCTTCGGAAATGAAGCTACCGGGCTGAGAGAAGTGCTCTCTGTAGGATGAGAGTTGCGGTGTGTAAACATCGAACTGCACATATATAAGCGATACTGGATATGATCTCTATTGCGGGGGGGGGGGGAACAACGAAATCGGTTATACCTTATTTATAGCAGCCTGATTCATGATAATACATTAATTTAGTGTTTTAAGTTATAGTGGACTGTGGGAATGAAGAGCGGAATGCAAATGAAATTGAGCAGTGGAATTAGGCCAACATTTAGGGTACAATATTATAAGCTGGTTAGTTCATTTCCATCATGATATGTTTTTCCCTTGTTCTTTTTTAAGGGGATGAAGTGAAGCCTGGTTACTGTTGAACGCAAAGCAATGGTA